TCGTGTGTTTATTATATATTAGTAGTAAGCTTTCTTCATTGATTCATAAAATCAGATAATCCATTTCTTCTCTTTCTTCTGCATTAAAATGCCCTAATTTTTAATACAAAAAAATACTAAAAACATTCAGTGAAAACAGATAAGACAAATCACAGCACTCCTCTTTCTCTAGAGAAAGGAAAAATTGCCTTCAAAGAAAATAAAACCAGCCCTAGCAGTTCCAGCTGTCGATGGGGAGATGGCTGCTTTGAGGACGGGTGAGCTTGGTTGGGGCAGCGTCTTAAAATCACGTCACCGCGTGGCACTCCAGCAGCCTCCCACTGCCGACCCCCCAGCAGAGCCGTGGGGCCACAGCCGGGGCAGGGCGACGAGGAGGAGAGGGCAGGAGCCTGGCTCCGCACAGGAGCATGCTTGCTTTTGGCTGGGGACAGCGGCACGCATCTTCTTACTACAAGAAGCTGCACACAAGCCAAGGAATCTGCCTGCAGGTAACAACTTGGAGCAGACTGTTACTTCATCTTGTTCTGACTTTCCGGATTTTAGCGTTTAGAAACTCCTATGCGCTCAGTCGTTCCTTTTCCTGTGCCCGCTTTCCCCAGCCTGCGCTCTCCTCTTACACCTGAGGGACTGGGTAAGATGCACAAGCAGCGAGACCACACATATTCTTCCCACGTTCAATGAGAAAGTACCTAAAAAGAGAAAGGAATGTGCATGAGTGAGCGTTTCCTTCTCCAGCAGAGTCAGTGTGACAGATCCTGGGATGAGGAGACCGCTCTCGTTCTGTGCAAGCTCCTTTCTTAGCCCGGTGCAAGGAGCAAACTTACAGGCCTGCCCCCGCCAGCAGCGAGCCAGGCAACACCATTCCCCATCCCCCTCCTGTCACAAGCTATCGCAGTTAGCACCTGACTCTAAAAAATTTCACTTGCAGCTGGAAATGCTTGCAGAGCCGGACTGAAAACGCGCTCCCAGCACAACCTGCTCTCCTGGCACCCCATGAACCAGCGGTGCAGCGGCTCTGCACACGCTGGCCCAGCCCCTGGCAACAGCAGCGGTCTATTCATCCAAGGCTCTGCTCTAACCAGTCCCCCCAGGACAGGTTTGTAGAGCCACGTCTCCTTCGCTGCCGAGGCTGGGATGATTTCCTTCCCCCGCCGCTTCCCCGAGTATGAAAGAACTGTGAAATTTCAGCTTGAGAGCGTAAGGGCTGCCTGGGGCTGATGAGGGTGGGTGGGATCCCCGGCACGTGACTGTCCTTTTACCAGGTACAGGGAGACGGTGGTGGGTCTGGTGGCGCTGGGACCCCCTTACCCGTCCATGCCCCAGAGCGGGCCCCAGGAGTTCTTCACAATCCAGTACGGAGTCCCGTTTTCTTCTCCATACCCCACGGCGAGGACAGCGTGGTTCACCTTGTCAGGAGTGTGGTCACAGTGCGGGCTGCAAGGAAAAGGAAAAATAATGCAGATCTGTTCCATGAAACACCAGCCTCTAATCGTGGATTAGCCAGCATTCTGGATTGTGCTCCACTGCAAAAAGAACTGACAGATACTCTGAACTCCCAGCTGTGCAGAGCAGCGAGGGAAGCCAGGAGAAGGAGCTGCTGCCGTGTTGTCTCCCTCAGAAATTATCAGCGGCCATATCGGAAATCAGGGCAATGAGCTACACGGACCTTTGATCTGGGCACCTGGTCCGACTTTTGTTCAGAATGAATGTCAACATTGTCATACAAGAATGAGCTACAATGGAAAAACTGAGCACAGGAATTTTTCCAGTGAGAACCAGAAGTTCTTCATGCATCCCAGTAACGGTTTGTTCTGCCCCAAAGTGCAGGGGCACTGTTCTGGATTGTGCACAGGGAACAGAGAGTTCCTCAGTCTAAATACACATTTCTCTTTATTTCTTCTGAATTTACAGCTTTTAAATTGCACCTGATGAAAGTTGCTGGCTGTGCGATAAGACAACACAAGATACAAGCTCCCATCCCTAGAGCACCTGGTTTTAAACATTTTCAGATTGCAGATAATTAAAAGACCCATAATCCACACAACTGATTTACTTTTCCTGAATCTGTTAGTAGTTGCTCTGGGGAGCATCAATCATTCCATACCCTCTCACTTTAACTCTGCCTTAGGTGACAAACCTACAGGATAACTTCACTTGGTGTGTTCCAAACTGGAATCCTATTACGAGCACCCCCCTGCTCTCACACCTTAGGCGTGCCTGTTGCAGGTAACTCTGAGATTCCTGCCTTACTGCAACAGCAAAGCCGCTGGAATTCACAGTGCTGCCTGCTCTTCCCTTGCAGCTCCCTGGGGCAGAGCACTCATGCTTAGACTCTTAGTATAATTTTCCGTGCAGCTCTACGTGACTGAGGATTCATTACTCTGAAGGATTTTTCTAGTTCTCTCGAAACAGGCACTTTACGTGTGCAACTGCAGAGAGGCAGGTGAGGACTTGGTGGGATCAGCACGAGGTGCTGCAGCGATGCCAGGACCGCTGCTTTCATAACACACCCTGCACACAGTGATAAAGGGACGTGGAGGCAGCTCCACTGCCCACCCGCTCCACACCGCCCATCCAAGCTCTAGCGCTGGAAGAGCCACCACGTCCCGGAGCAGCTCACTTTGGGTAGGGCTTGCCCTGAGTAAACCAGACTGGTTCAGCTGGGCTGGCCCTGCCACCATCCCAGCTCAGCCACACGCGCCATCAGCCCTGGGAGAGGCTCCCCCAGGGCTGCAGGAGCCCCCAGCTCACCGATTGCTGAGCTTCATTCCAAACACAGTCTGGGCTGCAGGAGCCCCCAGCTCACCGATTGCTGAGCTTCACTCCAAACACAGTCTGGGCTGCAGGAGCCCCCGGCTCACCGATTGCTGAGCTTCACTCCAAACACAGTCTGGGCTGCAGGAGCCCCCAGCTCACCAATTGCTGAGCTTCACTCCAAACCCAGTCTGGGCTGCAGGAGCCCCCGGCTCACCGATTGCTGAGCTTCCTTCCAGACACAGTCTGGGCTGCAGGAGCCCCCGGGCTCACCGATTGCTGAGCTTCATTCCAAACACAGTCTGGGCTGCAGGTCAGACCGGCTCCTAGTACAGCACATTGCCTGCAAGCACACTGTACCCTCTTACCCCCCCTGGGAAATCAGCATATCAAGGCTCAGTTTACTTATGTTTTCTATTTTCTGTTTAAAAGAAAATGCAATAATGCAGTCCAGCGTCTGTGCGTCCAGTGCCGCAAAGGAGGAGCAATGGGGATGCGAGCAATGCCAGCCCTGCACCTTCCCCTCGCCCTCACCCCCCACTACTCACTTGGAATAGACTCCTTTCCTGTAGTGCATGAAGTTGCCCGTCACCTCAAAGGCAAAGCTCACCGGGTTGTGCTTCCCCACCGCCTCCACCATGCCGTCCTCGTCGTACTGCAAGAGGAGGAGCTCAGGGTCCGTTATCTCCCAGTTGCGCTGGGAACAGCCATGGCCCCAGCCCAGCAGTCGGAGCACACGCTAACCCCGGCTTTCTGCTTGCAGACAAGAAAACAAGCGCTGCTTGCGCTGAGCGACAAGAACCACAACTTCCTTACAGCCTGGAGCTGCACCCGCTGTAGAAAGCAGGCATAGACAGAGTGCCTGCATTCTCACTGCAGTCCGAGTTCGGAAACACAGCCCTGCCGCCTCACCTGCGTGATATTGATCACGTCCTTGACAAACGCAACAGCCTTCTCCGGCTGGAACTTGCACGTGCCGTTCTGTGCAGACAGAAAGGCAGCGGTGTTAGAGCTTCCTCTGGACCCCGCTCTGCCGCCGCAGAAACGTGTCAGAGCGGCGCGGGACGTACCTGGGCTCGGTACGGGTACGAGTCCTCCCCCATCAGCCCTTTGTTGTACAAGATGTATTCGAAGGCTTGGCTGGGCAGCCCCCTGCGGGACAACACAGCCAGAACGCAGATGAATTAGGATAAAAAAGCACCAAGAGTGGTTTTGCTCGGCTCTCAGCATTCCCCAGGGACTGCTTATCTTACAGAAAACAGATTTCAGAAAGCTTGATTTTCCGCCTTCTCGAGCAAGGCCAGTAGGAATTTAGCAAAGGGGAAGCAGAGGTTTCTGTGGGTTCCTCACTGCGCCATGGGATGCGCGTGACCCACCAGCAGAGCAACAGACAAAACTCCCCTGGCTCTCCTCAAGCACGTTAAAGCCCAGCTACACAGCACCCGTGACTGAGGGAGCAGAAGACATGGCAACAAAAGAAGTATCAGAAGAAAAATCAGTATAAAAAGGAACAACAGAGGTTAGGAAATTCTGGAGATTTAGTGAAACATTCCCTCCTCTACGGAGAGTGAAATTAAAATAAGCAAATGAAACCCAGCCCAAAACTGGTTTCCCTGACACTTCTCAGCCAAGGGGACATAAAAACCAAGATCTGGAAGGACCCCAACACTAAATCTTGAGGAGGACTGTCAATCCTGGAGCATAAGATACTCTCATTCTTTATTGCTTTACATTACTTACCCACTGCAGCCATGGTTGTTAAAAGCTTGAGCACAATCAACTAACTGTTGTTCAGCCTAGAAAAATTTTTTTGAGTCAGTACACGTTCAAAACCTGCATTCGGAATTGAGTGAGTGAAAACGCAACCACGCAGCAGCAACCGCAGAGCGCTGGGTTGATCTGTGCAGCTGCTCAGATGCTGCGAGCGGGAATCCCCCGCCTGAAGGGGCTCCGCGACCCAAGGAGCAGGACGAGGCAGACGTGGAGCTGGCAGCCCAGGTGTTCCTCCTCCCCCCAGAACACCGTCCCACCCACCGGAGTGCTGGCTGAGATCTTTCAAAGGTCAGATTTAACGCTTACACCCAGCCCTCAGCTATTCTGGTAAGTCATGTAAGTGGCTACTGTCTTTCTGGTTCTTTGAGAATGTAAATCCTCTGGGAGTTTAAAAATAAACAGTCTCACAAGGTGCCGCTTGCAGCAAGCTGTTTTGCAGCGAAGAGCTCCTGCCAGCTGGCAGCACCAGGCACGGCGCTGGCAAAACCACGCCTGCTCCCTGCTGCAGGACCCCCTTTCGTCCTGCTCCAAAGGGCTCTGCCCCAGCCCGGGGCAGTGGGACACTCGGACCCCAAGAGGGGACAGGGTCTGGCATATCCTCCGCAGCCCTGGCGGATAACCGGAGCCAGGGTGTGCTGTCCGTGCCCAGGAAAGGAAAATCTCTTACCAGAGAGAGGAGCTTTCCTGTCGCAATAGCAATAGCAGACTCCAGACATCCCGTGGTGGAAAAGGTCCAGCAGCTCCCGCAGGGGCCCTGCGTTAGGAACCAGAGAGGAGCTGGCCCATGGCGTGCCACAGGGTCACTGGCCTCCCCGAAACGCCAGGACCGGGG